AAAATGCAGACTTACAGATAGTGGTGCTGGGCCATGGGGAGAGAGAAAGGTTGTTGCAAGCTGCATGAAATGATCTATTTTTCTGTTTTTGTCCAATGTTGAGATATGCTTATTTGGAAAAATTTAAAAGATATATGAAGTAATATTTGCATTTATTTTGTACAGCAACTCCAGTTATCTTCATATTGAACACATTTAGACTATTCACTATAACAATGCTTGGCTATGCTATTGAAAGCTCTGTGCTGACTGAAATAATAATATCCTTTTTGTGGTTGTTGTTTTTATAACACCACTTTGTAGCATATGATGATACCACACAAGAGTAATAACTTGTAAGGAGTGCTAATGTCTTCTTTTTTCACTCCACTCAAGAAATATATAGATAGCATTTACATACATGGAAGTAAGTATATTAAACACTTACTAACCTTAACTTGATTTGTGCTGAACAACAGAGGATGGAGAGGTGAGGGTTTCACTTTGGAGAAGCAAAAGAAAGACAAGGCAGTTGCAAAGCATTCTTAACCTCCAGTGATTTATTGGCCCTCAGCCAAGTTATCAGGGGAATCTAATTCTTCTTTATTATTCAAATAAACCACATTTGGCACCACGGTTCCCTTTTAGAATAGCTTCACAAATAGACTGAGCTCTGTCATTTATTTGACCTTGTACTTGTGTGCTGGAGCTGTAATTTTATTTGCCATTCTATATAACAAATGCAGAGAAATCTAAGCCATGGAGATGAACAACAAGATGTAGGAGAGGGGTTTGTGGTAAATATATCGGCAGGAATTTTGGAGCGGAAAACAAAATTTAATCATTTATCTCCCCGCCCCCTCCCCCCATTCACCTTCACCTCTTTTAGCCTTCATTATATCCTCACCACCCTGCCTCTTTTCAATAAATGGCTTTGGGACAAGCCACTCCATATCCTTATGTGCAGCTCTGGTCTGGCTGGCTGACATTCTCCAAGAAATGTCTCCTATGAGGGTGGAGATGTGCTGGAAGCAGAGCAATGACTGGCACTGGACGCAATGAGGGGGTGATTAGAATACAATCCCAGAGAGGCTTCAGCTGTGCACTGGGTAGTTTCTAATGACATCATGACCATTAACATAACAAGTGCTGAATCCCCTTTGGTTGGAGGCCAGGGCTCCAGTAACTTGTTTTGCTGGGACAGGTGTAGGGGACTACCATCATCCCTCACCTAACTCACAAGGCAAAGTGTTTTCAGAGACCTCAGTTCCTGCTGATGCTTTGGTTAACTGAAACCCAGGTCCTCTTCCTCTGGGAATTCCGCCGTTGTATTTTTTGTAAGGATTTAGAAGGAAATGAGGATGAAGGAAACCTGATTTGAAGCCCCATAAATAAATCCTTATTGTATCCAGTACTACCTGGATTACAGAACAGAATGTCATTCTCAAAATGGTCTTCAGCATGCCCATAGCTCAGGGGCAGGGGATTTCCCCAGCTCATAAGATTTACAGTACATGTCTACATTTTCCAGGTAGATCATTATAGCCTTGCTGTATAGAAGTAGACTCCTTTGGAAGCAAATCAGTAAGATATAATATATGTCTCAGGCTCTCAAGGAATCCTCTGTGAGACTGATTTCTTGATTGCAGTTTCTTGAGAAGCAATACTCTTTTTTTAAATTTTCGATTGTTGACTGTATCTCTCTTTTTGCTTTGCTTACCAGGAAGCTCATAGCTACAACTGAAGCTTTATTAGATGACTCATATCTCATTTTATAAACATGTTCGATGCTCTCCTACTCTGTAGCAACAGATTACCCATTTCTGTTTATCCCCTTTCCCTATTACACTGTTCTATTTTGACACTGGTTTTACTGTATATGTTTATTTCAAATCCTTTGTGGAAAGAAGAGGTATAAGCCAACACATAAATATTTTCTCTAAGCCTTAAAACCCTATATCAACTACAAATGGTTTTTTTTATTTACCATGTAATGCCTTTTTTTTTGATTCTCTGGTGATTAAGCCCCTTATGTTTGGAAGCGATTTCATAAAATCTGGCTACACATCATGGCTACGTTTTCAGCATTAAGGACTCATTCTGTTTTCTTTCTTCATTTTTCACTTCTGCCAATTCCATTATAGGAGGGAGGATAGCTGTCTTCCGAGCTCTGGGTGCCATCACCTGGTATGACTCATTTAATCTCTATGCAAACTAAGTCAGCATCAATGGCTGGTGCTCTTCCTTTCAGAGAAGGCTGAGTGGTGGGGAACTGATCAGGGTTTTTAACCAAGAAAGCAAGTAAAAAATGCATCTTTCACCCTTCCTTCCTTCTTTCCTTCTCTCCTTCCCCCATTTGTTCCTCCCTTCCTTCTTCCTTTCTCCCTCCCTCCCTCCCTTTGTTCCTCCCTCCCTTTGTTCCTTCCTTCCTTCCTTTCATCATTTTCTGTGCTGGTTCTGGGTTTGAACTCTCTCCCCCAGCTCCCCTGCCTCCCACCCACTCAAGGCTGGTGCTCTATCACTTGAACCACAGCTCCATTTCTGTTTTTTTGCTGGTTAACTGGAGATAAGAGTCTCATGGAATTTTCTGTCCTGCCTGGCTTTGAACTACAATCCTCAGCTCTCAGTTTCCTGAGTAGCTAGGATTTACATGCATGAGCCATCAGTGGCAGGCTATTTTTTTTCCATCAACTTATTTCTCATCTTTTCAGATGGGAGGCCAATAAAGCCCCCTGTCTGGAATCTCCTTACCTTAGCCTGTGAATGTGACTGCCAGCCTTGGCAATGCCCACCCCAGGAGAAGCCACAGCACCTCCCAGCCATAGTCTGGCCCCAGTAAGTCATAGGATGGACTAGTTGAGCATACTTTAAAAAGCCATCTCAGGTGAAGGCCGGATCTGATTGGATAGATACTGCCAGATAGTCTACCATTTCCATTTAATGACTTTATTCTGTAGAAACACTAATTATTTGTTTCACATTTTAGGAAAAGATAGACTGAGGGCTGCAGTACAGAAACAGAGAAATAAACTGCTTTTAAGGAGAAAGCAGCACAGGGTTAAAGCCAAATTTTTCTTGAACAGATGATATTTCAGATGGCCACACTATTCCAGATGCATCAATTTCCTTGAAAATCCAATCCATATATGTGCATATGCTGTGCTGGCAGGACGACTGACTGAAATGGCCAAAACCCAAGAGCTAATATTCTTTTGGCCAGAATAATGCAATTATTATTTTCCTAGCTATCAGTCTAAGCATACAGAGCCATCTGTTATGCAAAGCAAACATACACATCTCAATTACAGAAAATGCAGTTGCCTTGACAGAATTTGGATTACACCACTAACCAGGGCTGGAAAATGTGTTTGGAGCTAGCATATAATGGATGCTTTCAGGAGTTTCCTAATTAGCATTTACCTGCTTAAACTAATTATTCATCCTTCTTCTTCACTGGCTTATTAAACTTTGTTGGGGACTCTGCATAAACAGAGAAATAGAGGCATCACTGCGAAAGAAATGGTGGTAATTTTGGTCCTATCTGGTATTTTAATAACATGGTGGCAGACCAATTTCAAAAAGGGAGATTCTCAATACTAGGTCCTAAGCAGACTCAGATGAGGCTTTGAATCTATTAAAGGCTATTACCAAACCACAGATTTCAATGAGATACAAGAATACTAATACTGACTTAACCATAGCTCAGTTTCTATCATTGGGTTTTCTAAAGTCTACATAAAACAGAATTACTCTAACATGCTACAGTTGATAGCCTGCATGTTCTTTGAGGAAGCATAAATGAGATTGCACCCCTTGTTTGGATTCTCCACAGTAAATAATCAAATTTGGCAGTGTTTCTCCTCCTCCCCCAGTCCTCAAATGCCAAATCTCTCTTTATTATTTCCTCGTGTCTTTCTTGATTTAGCTCTCACCCAGTAAACTTGCTTGCAGCCAAAAGGTTCGCCTGTGCTGGATGATTTCCTAGAACCATGCCAGCATTCAGAGGCTGGGTGGGACTTGCTTGAGAGGAGAGAAGCAAATCTTATCTCCATCTTTGGCTCCAAGGAACAACTGAATGAGGGAGAGATGATCAACTTGGCCAATTCTCCCCTTCTCCCCCCTCCCCACACCCATGGAAGGTGAGTCCCTCAGTCTGCTCTAAACTGGGTCAGAGAGAAAGTGTTAAACTCAGCCCATCACCTGGATGGGTACAAATACCCAGATGTTCAGCACTTTCATGGACAAAAAATCTGGATAATGAGCCGAACTGCAGACCTTACTGTGGGGCATTTTGGCATTCTGTCCATGTGTGGCCTGTGTCTTGGAACCCAGTGGAACTGAAATGTTTGTGTTTGCAGGGGAGGTAGGGGTGGGGTAGCAGCAGGACCTGACATCCAGGTTGTGTTCCTCACCCTATCAGACTCTATCTTCTTTCTCATCTACCCTCTGACAAACACGCATGAGCAATTAAACAGCAAACAATTAAAGGTTGTCTTACTTTATGAAATTGTCTTCCAGCATTAGGAAGCATTTGCAAAGGCGGCAACATATAACCATGCTGGAACCCTCCCTGCAACACATTTTAATGGTCTCTTTCAGCATTCCTTGACTCCAAATGACTCCTGCCAATGTGTCAGCTCCCAGGATAATGCAGGCTACTCCATAAACATCCAGTAATAGGACACAAGGGAAGCCCTATTAGTGTGGCCCTCTCCTACTGGGCACAGAGGTTTCAAAGTTCAAAACAACCAAGGGAAGGAACTTCATTTGTTCTCAATAAATTAATAATGATCCTCAGTAGGTGGGAAGAGGGACTGAAGTTTTGGAGCCCAAGTTTATTCTGAACATTTAGCACTGAAGTCTCTCATTGACTTAGAAGGGTCGAAGAGAAGCCATTAAATACGAAATTTGATCATTCATGCTAAATAGAATATCCCTCAAAAGAAAAAAAAGGGGGGAAAGCATGAGGCCGACGGAGCCTCCACACAGTCAAAACCAAAAATCTAAATTGTTCAACTTACTTGTGAGAGGCCCAGGTAGATGGATACTGTTTCAGAAATGTACAAAAATTTTCCTTCTTGATTTAGTGCAAATACAAAGCCATCCAGGGACTGTGAGAGAAAAAAAAACACACACACATATAAACAGGTCAATAAATATACAGAGAGGGATTTGCCTAATAAGACAACCAACACAGAACAACACACTAAATTTAAGACCATTTTTTTCTTTGCGTGTAATGAAAGTCCAAAGATCTTTTAGCATAGTATTATAGACAAGCAAATTAAAGAGCTGAAGACTATAAGCTTTTCTTATTTCAAGGACTTCTTGATGTCTGTGCCATTTGGATCAAGACACATTACGTTCATGGATAAAATAACGTCATGCTGATTTTATGAGACATTGCCTTCATTTCAGGAGATTCAGTGGCTACCGAGATTAAATCAGCAAGATTCTCTATTAAAATAGCTGAACAGGAATGGAAATTTTAATGAAGTGAAAGAGAAAAAAATGCTTTCCTATCAAGGGCCAGTAAAACCACTAATTGAGCTACTATGAACATCAACAATTTGCAAATTAATAAAAAAAATCATGTCCTCATTCCAAGGGCCTATTGGGTTAGAACAAACAGCAAAAGTCAATACACTACATTATGAGTGAATGTTTATGAGCAGAAATCTTACAAACTGCAATCCTGTTTAGCAAGATTCTGAGTTAAAAGGGTTTGAACTGAGGGCCTCATTATTGCTAAGCAGGTGCTCTACCACTGAGCCATGTCACCAGCCTTGCTTTACAGCTTTATTGTGATAGACCTACTATCTATCATAACTCCTGAAAACAAAAGAAGAAAGGAGGACCACAGCTACAAAACCTAGAACCTCGGTGCACTCTGTACGCTGAGGGCTGTAGTTCCAGTAAGGTTAGGTTGGTAGAGCACAATACCATGGAATCCACCGACAACATCACCCAAATCACTGCACATCCTCCATCACCTGTGCATCTTTTGTTTTCTGTTGTTTATTTTGATCAAAGTGGACTGTACAAGTGCAGTTTGCCATTAGAAAAGGAAGTTTTAAATCATAGTGGTGGTGAAGCCTGTGAATTTGCAGTGCAGGAAACAATGCAAATGCAGGAACTATATATGAGTGACACATGTGGAAACAAAGAATGCACTGTTGTAAATAGAACAAGATGAAAGATGTGTGTAAAATTCAGTTCCAGGGACTGGTGGCTCAGGCCTATAATCCTCGCTACTAAGGAAGTGAAGATCCAAGAACTGTGGTTCGCAGCCAGCAAAAAAGTCTATGAGACTCATATTTCCAATTAACCAGCAAAAAGCCAGAAGCAGAGCTGTGGCTCAAGTGATAGAGTACAGCCTTGGAGAACAAAAAAGCCAAGTAAGAGTGAATTCAAGCCCCAGTATTAGCTAACACATACACACACACACACACACACACACACACACACACACACACACACAAAAGCACACCTTCAAGTCTCAGCAGTAAGTAGGAAAAAAAAAGCCAAGTAAGAGAGGGGCCCTGAATTCAAGCCCCAGTATTAGCTAGTACATACACACACACACACACACACACACACACACACACACACATCTTCAAGTCCCAGCAGTAAGTTCAATTTCCTTAAATATTGAACATTTTGTGTAATATTTATCTGCATACAGATGTTATAGTTAGAATACATGCCCCAAGTTCACGGTTTGGAAAGAGAATCCCCAGGGTAACAGTGTTGAGGGCCAAGGTCCTTGGGTGGTGAATAGGCCAAAAATGAATGTTGTTTTCACTGGGCAGGTGAGTTGTCTCAAGAGTGGGTTCCCTGTGAATGGATTTTGGTTCTTTCATGCTGCCTTCTCTTGCACATGATCACTCAACCTTCTACCTACTGCCATAGGACAATGTAGCAAGAAGCCCTGGCTAGACGTGGCCCCTTGATTTTGGACATACCAGCTTCCAGATGAGAGAAAGAAATAAATCTCTGTTCTGTACCAATTTCCGCTATTTCTTTTCTTCTCTTCTTTTTTTTTTGGGGGGGGGGGAGGGTCTGGTCATGGGACCTGAACTCTGGGCCTGGGCGCTATCCCTCAGTTCTTCAGCTCAAGGCTAGTGCTCTACCACTTGAGCCACAGCACCATTTCTGGCTTTTTTCTTTTTGCTTATGTGGTGCTGAGGAATCGAACCCAGGGCCTCATGCGTGCAAGGCAAGCACACTACCACTGAGCCACCTTCCCAGCCCCAATTCCAGCTATTTCTAAACAAACAAAAGCAATGAATTATATTCATTGACATACATATGTTTATATGGATAGTGACAAATATAGTTACGTATATTTCTAAATAAACATAAAACATGGCTTTTCATATTTATTGACCACTTTTCATTGCCCAACACTGATCAGAACTTGTGGGTGATATCCAACCCTGTCCACTGATTTAGTAAGTTCTGAAAAACAATTCAAAATTTATATTTCCTTACTAAAAGCAAATTATTTAATTGACCAATTTTTATCTAAGTGTACAACAATAACAGGTATAAATATGTGCCAAGCAGTTTGCATGTACTGTCTTTCCAAGTCTTCACAAGTATCATATAAAGTAATTATGTTATCATCTACATTTTATACACAAGGAAATTGATACTTAGCAAAGTTAGGCAACAGGCCCATCCTGTGTTTGGAGTTTGGATTTGTATCCTGACAGACAGACTCAATAACTAATTCTGTTTTCCACTAAAAATAAACATTCTCTAATTGATATGTGTGAATTAATGAAATGATAAATATTCACAGCATTTCTGAAGTTAGAGTATTTACACTGAGAAGCAGCCTATGACTTCTTAAGCAGTTTTATCACTTGTTTTGAATGATTTGCTCAAATCCCATCCTTACGCATAGAAGAAAGAGGTCCAATGTCAAGAAAGTTCGTAAGTTACTTCCCCAAGAGGTCACCTCATTATCTCTGCTCAGTAGATTTCTCTAGAATCAAGTTTGGGAGGAAAAAAAAAAAACCACTAAGTGTAGGCTCCTTACATTGTAGCACTGTCAATCCCTCTCTGCTCCCTTCAGGTCCTGGGCAGATACAACCTTTTGCACATTCTGGGCCTTACACACTGGCCTCTGTGCTGGTTTCAGATGTAGTGAAGTCAGTACTCACTTCAATATAGCTAAAGCAGTGGAGAGGGATAGAAGGCTCCTTTCTAGAAGTTTGGGGAGAGTCTCACTTCAGCATGTTTTACCCCTTAAACAAAATGTCTCTAGAGGATGACTTGAGATTGTAGGGTCATCTCCCTTTGACCCTTCCCTTGGAGAATAGGGCTTTGCTAGGTTTTTCATTCAATATAACAGCCATAGTTCCCTGCACAATCATAACACCTGAGTAAGCCATCTTCCCAAAGAAAGAACCGATGGAACTGACATAGAGATATTCTTTATCTTACAGGTAAGGAAACTGAGGCACAGGGATGGATGTGAAGTGGCTAGGTAAGATCACATCCAGCTAGTGATAGAACCAGGATCAAATTCTTTGCACGCCCAGAATATAATTTAACCATTTACAACATTAGCTAATTTCTGTTAGCTTCGTGAACTCCCAACCAAACTGAATTTCTCAATGGTGAGACAAAGTCTGAATTAACTTGGATTAACCAGCATCTAGCAGCAATTAATTGTTGAGACTTATGAAATTCAGTTCTATTAATGCTCTCTTCTTGGTATCAAATACTGTACTCCATAATGATTAAGAGGGAAATTACTTTCTCCAAAACCTGTTTGATGAGTCATTAGACCAGTTGCACACTTCCATACCACAGATTTGGACCATGGTCTGGGAAATATCCTGATATTTGTAGTATCAGGGTTAAGTAGATTCTTTCATTGTCTTCCCAAGTATATAGAGTTCTTCCTGGAGAGACATGTCATTGCCACACCAAAAGAGACTGACTTTTATCATCAGGTTCAGACCCTGTGTGCTTACTAGAGTATTATAGGAGGTTTGGGTATTATCATGGGGAAAGAAATATCTGGAGGCAAAACATCTGACACTATAAAGCAGAAGCCATCTAAGAACTGGCCAGTTTTGTTTGGCAAAAAAATAGAAGCTTTCACACATGTTCCAATTTCCTAGTGAGACTGAAATGAGTCTATGTCTACATGACTCAATGACATCCAGTCAATTCAATTAAAAATAATGGCTAATTTAGTAGGGGAAGAACAACTAGTCAGGTTACTGGTTAGTTACAATCAAGGTTGAAAAACCTTGATTAACTATATTTGCTTGCTTTTATGCTTGTCATTTTGGTTCATTATCTATCTATAGTCTGAGACAATATCCATAACTCAGATTTGATTACCTTTCAGCTAGGGAATGGGGTGATCTTGGGTCTAAAAATGGATTGAAAAGTCACTGGGCACACAGCCATTACCTTCAGACTCAAGGTCATCCCTGTCTATGGGGAGCTGTGTCTGTCTGCCCAGAACCTTTTGAAGAGGAGCATCAACATTGGTTTCATTTGGGTGTCTCCATTTAAAAAGGTGGGAGGAGGAAGGAAACATTCAATCAGTAGTCTTGGAAACCAAATGTGATTAATCTGAAAGTTCTGTGAAATTAAAAAAAAATTTTGAATTGAGCAAGCTATTATATACTGTGCTGTTCAATCACTGCAGGCTACTTTTTAATTTTTTTTTAAACTGCCCACTGTTTTCAACAGGCGCCAATTAAGATTCTGGGGTCAAAGGGTTAATTACATCTTCTTACCCACTATGTAGAATTTTCTGATTATTAACTAAGGTTGGATTAAGATGAAAAAGAAGCTACACAAATGTTAATGCTAGCCCCTCCTGGAGAAGATTTATTATAAAGCCATGAGGAAATCTATCTGCTTCCCTTAAAGCAGATGGAGAACAAAAAATCTTCGAAGAAACAGTAAAACAGACATTTTGAAGACATGAAAGTATCTGATTTATCAGGACAGTTTTCTTATTACTGAAAACAGTTCTTAGCTATCCAGACAGGGCTGATAGGAGATTTCCTTTGTCACATCCCAATAAGTCTATGAGGTATACACACAAGGTGTGAGGCTTGATTCTAAAGTCAGG